ATTTCCGTGAAAGATTCCCAGGAGTGTCCAGACTAAAACGAGACGCCAACCTCACAAACGGTTGTCCTAGTAGCACCATAAACATGAACACGATCCCCAGACCCATCCCTACCTCGAAAGAGAACAGACATCAGCAGATAAATTATGATTTGGATGATTTTCTACCTGCTGAGTGCTTGCGCTCAGGGAAAGAATGCGTGCACTTTGTTGATCATTATTCTAGGAAGGTGTTTCCGCTGTTATACATCTTGTTTAATATCGGCTATTGGTCTTACTTTCTACCAAAAGTAGATTGATCTGCCCTTRCACTCCTATACACCTCTCTCAAAAATCATTTCTAAGACTGACAAGAAAAMTCTGATGAAATCGCTCTTGCGGACTTAATTTCTTTCGAGTTTTCCTGCTTGGCTTGAGCTAAAAAATAACAAATGAGCTAATTCACGCATTTATGGCTGCAAATCCAAAATAAAGAAGTCAAAATTCGGTTAGAATTCAAATTCTGAATCGAAAATTCAAAACCAAACAGGACGCGACCTCATGCACTGGGTGATTCGGTTACTGAATTCGAATTCTGAATCGAAAATTCAAAACCAAACAGGACGCGACCTCATGCACTGGGTTGATTCGGTTACTGAATTCGAATTCTGAATCGAAAATTCAAAACCAAACAGACCTCATTCACTGGGTGATTCTACTTCAATGGTTGAATAAAATCGCTCTCTCTGGCAAGACGATACTTTACTGGGAAATCAGTCTTTTATTGGATCAGTTAAATTCGAGAAAAATAATCAAAGATCCAGTTCATTAGCATCTATTGTACGCGCGCAGTCGATCGGTCGTATACACAGTCCGGCCACGTGGTCGATCGGTCTAGGAGAGGTTTATATATTAATTTTTTAATTCATAACTGCGCTTTGCTGTAATGTTTGGAATTTTATAACAATAAAAGATGAATTGAGGTGTGTGATGTTATCAAACTGTCTAGAGGTTTTCACTCAACAACAGTGCAGCTCACACAAACATCATTATTTGGTGTTTTTCTACAGACTTTATTTTAGCAACATCGTCACTTGGTTATTATCTGCAAGTTATGAATGACGCGGCTCTCCTTGTCCGTCCCTCCGTCCACCCTTCCGCCTGTCTTTCTGTATCCATCCGTCCGTCTGTCTGTCAGTATTCATCCATCCGTCTGTCTGTCCGCATCCGTCTGTCTGTCTGTTCGTATCCATCCGTCTGTCTGTCCGTATTCGTCTGTCTGTCTGTTCGTATCCATCCGTTTGTCTGTCCGTATCCATCCGTCTGTCTGTCCGTATCCGTCCGTCTGTCTGTTCGTATCCATCCGTTTGTCTGTCCGTATTCGTCCGTCTGTCTATCCGTATCCATCCGTCTGTCTGTCCGTATCCGTCCGTCTGTCTGTCCGTCTGTTTCGGATAAGCGCCTTTAGTAATGAGGTTTTAATCTGGAAATAACTAGTTCACAGATTGATCTATGTAGCCAAGATGGTTTCGTATTTCAAATACATGGATCTCTCATCGATCTATTTGTCTCTCTGTCTGTCTGTCTGTCCGTCCATCCTTTCATCTATCTGCATTCTTACTTTGTCTGTGCTTTCGGTCAAAGCTTCACCTATACTTCGAAAGAGAATACTGCTAGCTAGTCTGCTTCCTAAGTAATTAGGAAAACAAGCTTCACGAATATCACTAATACTGACGTTCTGTTGTAATTTTAAAAGCTGGGAATCTGATTAAAGTATACCTATCATTGCGTGTAAGACTGCATGTGTATATAGTTACGATAATGGATAAATATAAATATAAGATCAAACGCCTACCGCCGCTGACAACTCCTACGCGTTCAGAAATTGAACATCAAAATGCAACGGATTTTCTTCGAATCGAACCCGTTCGTTTCATTAACCCTTCCTTCATCTTCGATAAATAAGATACGGAAGAATTCTCTCGTCGATCAAGTTTCTTCTTCTTATCAGGTTGATCAATAGCAAGATACTGACGTAATGCTCCGTGTATGACGTCATTCACTTCCTCRTACCCAGTCCTCTCAGAAATAGATATCTCTTTAAATAAACACTCGAGTTCACTGGAAAATTCTCGTCCTTGACTCGATTCTACTTGGCGGAAATGCTCCAAGTCGTTCTTATTCCCTACCAGAACCATTGCTGTCGGTGCTCCAGGACTTTTGAAGTGGTTTAAATATCGTCCGATTTTGGTTGCTTGYCTGAAGGTTTCTTTATCAGCAATTGAATACAGAATGACGAAGACGTCTCCTTGGATTTTGCACTGCTGTAGCTTGCAATTAGTTATCTAGAAAACAGAAAGCAGAAGAAAAAAGCTTAGGTACCTTATCACGTGGTAAGGTAATAAGGAAACCTGKTCAGCGGTACACCTTTCATTGGCTGTGAGGGGCAGGGCGTCACTATTCAGCGAATCAAATTTGTCACTCGATCGCAAAGTTGCAGCGAATAAGCGTATTTCGCGAGCGTTGTTATGCATGATGCATATTTTGGACATTCCTGTTAACTTTGTTGATTTAATCATTTTTTTCTTTGACAAGGTAATTAAAATCAACGCAGGTTCTAAAAACGATCAAAAGAAGACGATCAAAGCTCATGCGCAGCTTAAAAAACCGCGTTGCTGAATAAACATATCACAGGCTCAAAATCGAGCGTGCATTACATTCGGGTCAGCAGGAATCTTTACTTTCCGTATCCATGGTCTTTTTGTTTACTTCTTACCTCTCCTGCAGTGTCAAGGATATCCAAACAAACGGCTACACCATCGAGCTCCACGATGTGTTTGTACGAGGATTCTGTACGCGTTGAGCAATAAAATTATGACATATTTCAAACAAAGTTACAGAACGAAGATAATGGATTTTACCGGCAAAGTTGGCACGGATTTGACAACAACTATTAAAAYAATCACTGCGCAACAATACTTCTCATCCAATCAAGATGCTCTGACGCGGTACCGACACGGTCACGGCAAGCATCCGTACCGTACGAATGAATGAATGACATGCATCCTCAGTCGTACGAAACCTCATCAAAATTTTTCCAACACTTTAATTAAATTGATTATTTTTATTGTGATTTTCAAAACATTACGAGTATCTATAAATTCCGCATTGTACGAGAAGATTGTGTGATGTTTTGTTTATGATACACTTAACAAAATTGAGCAGCTTAATTGGGACTCTACAGAGTTCAATTTGGGATTTAATTGTACTCCTCTTGTCCAATCAGAACCGAGTATTTTTTTTCATTTATGTGTCAGAAAGATCTAATAGTACCTAGCTTAATATCAAGACACACTTGCTTGAGCTAAGTGTGTTCACTTAACACAAAACTAACGGATAACTTACCTAGAGTTTGGTCGTACTCTCCTATGAATCTTCTGGTAAGAAAACGCACGAGAAAAGCTGGGGGGAAGCAGCGAAAAGTTTTTAATCACTGAATGAACTGAAACCCGCGCGAAACTACTGCGCATGTCAACAGCATGAAACTGAGATGAAATGTTAATTTCAGACCCCAAACACGAGTGCTTACATATAAGTGTTTCCTTTTCAATGAAAATTACGATATATTATTCATAGACAGCCATTTTTCTTTGTTTTAGTGAAGATTGTCGATTTTCTGGCTGCTTTATTTTTTTCGGTGGTCTGGGTTCAATTACTGCTCTTCAAAGAAGTGTTTTTCAAAAATGTTTTTACAAATTCTGTATTTCTTACCAGATTTTCCAACTCCTTCTAGGCCAAGGAGTACAATTCTAATGCTTTTGATGTCAGAATGGACTTGATTAACTTTTCTCGAGCGCATTATGGTACACGGCAGCTGTTAAACTCGATGCKCTATACCAAAGCATATGTATTGAGACCAATTCACTGAAGATAAAAACAAAACATCAAATTTGACATGGGATTTATTATTAGGTCTTCATCCTTTCGTCATGAGAGTTAAAAGACCTCATATAAAGATATAAAAGATCTGACAGTTTTTGTGTTATCAATGATTTGACAAATTAACAGGAAGCGAAAACTAATTTTTCGCGCCCTTTCAGTATATTGAAACATTACACTGAAAAATGACATCCAGTTGATAGCACAAAATCTTGATAATTTTTCTTTACAGCTTACTTTTTTAATTGAATTTTTCTTCAATAAAACTCAAGACTAAAACTGGAAACACTGATAGCCGGATATTTTCAATAAACTGAAATTCAGTCATTTTTCCCGTTTTTACCGCGTCTACACATTCGTTTTCGGCGAAAACTTGCGCTTTCAAGCACAATCGGTTTTCAACGGTATCCGGATACGCGCGGATGGGGCCTTAAATCATGAMATTTTTGGCAATAAGAATTATTCAATTATTTGAAAATAAATCATACTAAAGGCAAAGTGTTTTGGCTATCAATAATTCGGTAAACGTACGCCGGGGGTAAAGGTTTTTGACAAATCTTACGAGCTCTTACTTGAAAAATCAAGTATCATACAAACCTTAAATGGGAAATTCAATAATGGTTGAAAAATTACTTTAACTTTATTCAATAACCAGACGAAAAAGAAAAAAAAAACAGAGAAAAAAGCACTTCTCGAATTCAGGTGAGATTGAAAATTTATGACTAATACAAGCAAGGTACTCTATCTATATAAATGTTATTTACTTTTGATCAAAATCATGTCGATGAAGAATTTATTTGGACGTGTCGATGAAGAATTTATTTGGACGTTGAAAATTAACGAATAATGACACGCTTAACTATTCATACAATTTTCATTCGCTTTTAATATATCGATCCTAAATACCTTGACATGTTTAACATTATATTTATTTGAATCGCAGACAAATTTGTATTCTTTCCCTTGGGAGATAGTTTMAAGCTGAAATTACATAAAAAAGGAATGACTTGATTGCTTTTTTAACTCACCCTCTAAGCTCTACCAGTTTGTTGTTTTGAACTATTCCCAGAGGAAGCTCAAAGCAAGTGGTATGCTCTTGTGCACGTTGATAACTTCCCCGACTTGAAAAAGAGGCTACAGCATTCACATCCTCGAAGATATATATTGTAAGCTAGGGGGCGTTTGAAGTTGTTTCCAAAGTACTATTTATTAATGAGACTTTAGGCGTAATTTAGACATGTCTTCTTCACGAGTACAAAAGTTTATCATAATCTTTCAATGAGATATGATTTAGAGTCCACATTTGGTAATAATCAGGTACTTGRATCTTCCCCCACACAGCTATGTACAAACGTCATTTATTCTCTTGTGAAGTGCTTTTTCTATCGTTGCATTAGCGTYGTGACAATCCGACAAAATCAGTAATCTTGGGGGAAGTTATTGTTTCAACACCWTGAAAAATTTGAAACAGCACGTACTCTTGTGCTAACTTGAAATTATATTATCTATAGTTGATGAAAAAATGATTTTTAAAAGTCTCATGCCCAGTTTCGATAAATCAAGATATCCTCACGCATTTTGGGTTCATGAGAGGAAAGGAGGTCGTTAATTTTCTCTTGTTTTGACTTGATAATTATTTCCGACAGCACACACTCATCACTTACCAACAAACTATGATCTCTGCGGCAATGATTCTTCGAACAACATCCGTTTTACCAAATTAGTTTTTAAAAATTTCCGTGCTTTGTACGCACTTTTTCAGCTTAATAATATTTCACCCCACAGACCATTTGAACTGATTTGATTGATATTATTTTCACCCGGCGGCCTTTTTTTTTTTGTTTTTTGTCGTTGGTGCTATCGGATATTGAAGAGGTTTTCAGCCATCTTTTACTAGCTTTCTCTTTCTCTTTTACTCCGACGAAGGACTAGCGGCCGAAACGTCAGCACGTTTTTTCATCTTTTMACGGTGTATAATTTACTTTTTTATCATTACTGTTTCATTAGAAACACCGACGCAGCTCACACTAGTTTTTAGCTAGYTATCTCTTCTTTTTACTAGCTTGTGCCATTTGGAAAACGGATTGAAGCCAAAAGAGCCGATATTCATCATGAGTCATAAAACTCATTTTTAAAATCAACTTATTAGTTCTGCCTAAAAGGAACTCAATATAGCTTAGCAGTGTATCCGTTGCTTTTCAAGAGCCGGCTTAGCTAGGAATATTATATGGTAAATGGTGTCCACATTCAGATTCAAGAAGCAAACATTGCGTAGACTTTGAAGATAATTCAGTCCTATTTTAATTTACTAGTTTATTTTTTAACTATAAAACGGTGTAAATTCATTCAAATGACTTTAGTAAAATTTTTATTCTCATAACAAACCCAGACTCACTCACTGATATTGAGTCATCACTGAGTCGGTATTAGAGAGTTTTAGATTGACTTTTTTCCTCCCCGCAAACGTCAAACCTGACCACGTTTTCATAGTTTTCCTTTATTTTACTTTACCTTTTACAAACCTTCTCACCAAGCGCAAATACTCTTTTGTTTTTCTACTACTTGGACTTTTTTGCGATTCTTTTTCAGTAATTTAAAAGAATTTTTTACTAGTCAACTGACGTTTCACGTTTGCCGTGAACGTAAATCTAAAACTCTCTAATGGTAATGTTGCTAACGGCAAAAATCTGAGAGCATATATCTGAAGTGGTTTACTAAAAGGAAGCTGTATTACAAGATAAACTGAGTCTAGCTTCTCAGTYGAGCCTTTGAAATATAAAATTAAGCTGATAATCAGTTAACTCTCTCTCAAAAGGAAACGGTGCCGGGCATCGCGAGGTCTGTTGAAAGTCATGCTGTATGCGAAACCATTACAGTGCTACTTCTGTTATTTTCTAATTTCAAGCAAACATTTCTCGAGAAATGGACAAGAATACCATGTAAAAACACAGTTTGTCGAAAATCTCTACCAACGTTGAAAAAGAAGCCAGAATACTTTGCCAAGCTTTTGCCAGTAACTCTTACTTAGAGTAGAGATAACCTCTTCGTTATAATCAGATTATTCCCCTCTTGGCAAGCTGGCAGGGGTGCGTTATGCGACAAGACGAATACATTAATCCTGCGATCAACTATAAAATCCCCCTAACAATATCCCATCTAGCTTCAGCTCATAATATTTTTTCTTGCCAAAATCCTTTAATATTTAATAAATATGGCTATAATCCAATACTGAATAATCAAAGTAGACCGACTTATTCTTCTTCCCATCCATATCTCTCCGTATCCTCATGTTGAACTAATCTTTCAATCTTCAAATTTTTATTTTATGGTTTGATCGAAGTCAGTGCACGGCTAACTCTGAACAGATTGAACCCTGACAAAAACAGTCTTTGAGCTACTAAATCAGTTAGGGCATCAGTAGTAATTCATAAATCGGAGATCCCATAGAAAAACCAACAAACTACTCTACTCACATGTGATGCCGAGTCAGGAATCAAACCCTTGACCCCAGAGGTAAGAGGCGAGTGAACTAACGCTAAAACTTCCTTGGTTCCCTGAATTGGTTGACGTCACAACAAGAAGAAATACTTTATTACTTTATTACTRATCAAATGATTGGTGATACAGGAGCAAACCTAATGCATGGATGCGTAATACCAGCAATAAATAACAACGTATTATGAACGAATTTTGAAAATCTAAGTACTCTAATAAAGGCAGTAATAAATACGGGTGCGCGCCRAGCATACAGTTGTATACTGCCTCGCGCAGTCTTGTTTACGCAGTATTATGGGCTAACAAACACACTAGAGAGTATATGACATAGATTAGACTATGACAGTACAATCCTACGTGGATCAGGGGAAAAGAGGGTATATGACAGTCAAAAAGAGTAGTGCATGGTGAAGTATGCATGTTTGGAGAAAAAGGGAATATATAAATCATATGATGGTGTCCTAGTTTCAGACTATAATTCCTTTGCATATTTGTTTTAGTCATCAGAAATTTATTGACAAACAGAGGGAAATTTCTATCAGCATATGTCAGGTTCATCACTGAAGTTCCGCGAAGAATACCTAGATGTCTAATACATAGAGCGACATTCGCAACAGCTTCTTATTTTATGGACGTAAGGGACCCATATCTGCTTGAAGGCTTTGAAGTACATCCCAGAAGGAGGCGAGACGTTGGTGTATTGGTCTGTCCTCTTCAACAAGTCAATCAGTAGATACCCTTGCGCGCATACTCCGACTTGCGGTTGACAATAACTTGTTCCATCGCTGGGGCTTCCACTTGAAGATTCACACGTCACCTCATTGATGTACCTAGGGAAGCGGTCTGCAGTAAGCTCTGTTCTTCTCTGACATCTGTCACACATCTGCTTCAGGCTATTGATTGCTTCGCCTTTGGTTACGCAACCAACTTTGATCGATTCTCTTATTCCAACTTCGAGGAATCGCTTGCTTCTTTGCAGGYCTTTCGCTTGCTCCTTTGACGCCATTCCTCTGTATGCGCTTTTATCGCTTCTTTTTGTTTGTTCTTTCTCTAATTCAGAATCATCTTTTTCGTCCTCCCAACCAAGTTGTTCTAATCCATCGCTTCTTTTYATGTTCCGGCGTCGTTTTCTAAAACTTGGGTGTCTGTAGCGCCTGCATCTACGCGATGATGATGTCGGCTTTGTGGTTTCTGCTCCATCCCATCCAGGAAGAATTGGCTCAAAGTTTATTGCTTCTTCTGAAGAAACTGCCACATAATGCCTGTTGTATCCGCCAATACTCTTGAGCTGCTCAGTGAGTTCCTCTTCTGATGGGACCATGCAAAATACCAGCCCTTCGGGGRTAGACACAGTAGTATTTTCCCACACTTCTTTGCAAGGGTTTTCGCTGGTTTCTTGATCATCGTTTCTGTTGGAGCCGTCTTTGGAACTCGTTGAAGAAGCATGGCTCAACATCGTCATAGTAACCAAAGCCAAGCTTAGACATGCAATCAAAAGATGTGGAGCCTGAAAAACAATGATTCGCCAAACCTTTTAGTTCAATTTTTTAATTGGAAACCTCCTCGAAATGGCTTTGCAAATGYTTAATTGCATTGTCGAGGACCTATCAAAGTTGCCTCGTATTTCAATTCAAAAATCAATCCAAAAATTTCAGCTTGACAAATCCGATGATTAACACATAAATCCAAGTTGGCAAAAATGCCGCAAGCTAGAGCATAGGACACCAGCTCGTCAGATACTCCGTAGTCAGTTATTGATCAAATGTGTTGGTTGGGAAAAGCTTTTACCATTTGCTTCCCATTTAACACTTTTTCCACAGTTTAATATCCTGGAGCTCTGTCCTAAGTCTTGGTATAAATCTCGTAACATTTTCTAATTACTCTGACACAATACCAACTCTTAAATAAACATTTTTTTATAATTGGTTATCTGATTACCTAATTATTTGACAACTAGAATAAATGATTTTGTAAATTAGATAAAAAGGAATTTTACCTTCTGAGCCAAAACTTAATCCCGTACGTAGTTCAGACTAATAATACCAATATATAAACTCGAAACAAATTTAATTTTCAATAGAAAGTTCGAACTTTTTAGTATTTAGAATAAATAATATAGAGAATGAAGATGAAGTTTTTGTTATAACTATAAGCTAGTCTAGTTGCATTGGAAGTGATATCACCTCAGTCTGTGAGCGTTTTTTTTTTTTTTTTTGGTATMATCATCAAAATTTTKTTCAATGGCAAGTTGATTGTAATACTCAGACTACATATCTCACTGCCTTTACTTATAAGCCTGCCCATCAGTAATTCAACGATTACGAAAGCAAAAGCCATTCAAATGCAATAAAATGTACTTTAAGCTCTTTCTATTGCGATTATCGTAGTAATTTTGCCGAACTTTTTTTGGAACTTGATTTACTTAGCAACTGTTTTGTTGTTTTTTTTATAGGAACCCATAAACACTTCCCTTATTCAGTTCAAATAGATACATTTTTAGTCATTGAGAGTCCTTCTTGAATTTAACTGACTGGATGTTTTAAAAGTCCAATTCTGTAATACTAACTCCAGAAAAGCCACCGTTAGTGTATTCGTAGCTAGTAAAATAGCTACAGTTCGAAAAAGAACTTATTAGGTCGAGTTACGAGAACAAGTTTCAAGATATAGCTTTTTGGTGTCAACAAACACTCACTAAAAACTAACAAGGCAACAATAATTTTGCCGGTTAAAAAACGTTTTACGCTCAAACTTACCTTCATTTTTTACCAAATAAGACGAACAAATAAAATTAAGCTTCCGGAAATAGCTTGAATGAAAATGAGAAGGAAACACCCCAAGGAATTACTCCGGGACTGGCTCAACTAAGAGAGTTGTGATCAATAAGCTAGCGTCAATTCAGTTTGTTTGGTGTGTGGTAGAGTTATAAAACCTACTTTGATCGTTGATGACGTATCTTTCATTGTTCTGTAAAAATTGTTTAAACAAAGAGAAAGCTGATTAAATGTCTCACCGCCAGGGTCTGTGTTTTTACCCACACATTAGGCATGACTTATGTGTTTTTTAATATACCGCAGTGTTCTGCTATATATTAATGAACGCCCATCTTGAGCGACATTCACAATACTTCACAAGGCTTGCTCTTTATTTTTTCGGTCAGTCGAAAACCTAGTTGAAAAAAGACAGTGTATAAGAGAAGGGTGTTTGCCGTTTCGATCAGTCCCTTAAATTTCTGCTGAAAGAAACTACTCTGATACGGTATTCATTGGCGATGCATTCTGACTCATTGTTCTGGTCATGATCAGAATATTTCTTAATCGTCCAAAAGTTTCTTCCAAAGCTTGTGGTGCCTTTCGCCTATTTGCGCCGTCACCATGTTATATTYGAATAAGTTTGCATCTTGTCATAGGATTGCTTGAATGTGAAAATGCTGACTCAGTCCGTTCATATCGATCATGATTAATTGTCATAAATCTCGCATTCTGATTGGTTGGTGGTGCGTGCATTATGAGAGCACACAGCACGCGCGCGCACTTTCAGTTGCGTCGTTCCTATCCAATATAACGGTTATTATAAATTGTCCGTCTGTCCGTCTGTCCGACTGTCCGTCTGTCCGTCTGTCCGACTGTCCGACTGTCCGTCTGTCCGTCTGTCCGTCTGTCCGTCTGTCCGTCTGTCCGTCTGTCCGTCTGTCCGTCTGTCCGTCTGTCCGACTGTCCGTCTGTCCGTCTGTCCGTCTGTCCGTCTGTCCGTCTGTCCGTCTGTCCGTCTTTCCGTCTGTCCGTCTGTCTGTCTGTCTGTTTGTCCTCTTCAATCCGCCATAGCACAAGCTGCGATTGGAAAGATCAAGCAAAAATGCAGCAGTATTTTACAAATAAAACAGCTTTTRCCCGTGCTMCGTTAGTAATAAAGCACGCAGGARGTGGCGTAAGTACAAGAGAAGAGTAAGGAAGAAGAACGAGCCGTAGGCTWGTGCTTCTCATACTTCTTGAGTGCATGCTTACAACGCTTCCTAAGTGCGTTATTACTGAATGGAGAACGGAAAAGCTGTTTTATTCGTTTTATTATATAACTACTAAATTATTTTCGGTATTGGATATATTTACGCAAAAAGAAAGACGGTCGTAGGATCTAGCAGCACTTCCCGTGCGCGGATGGCGTTAGCACTGTGCTCCGTTCATCACTAATAAAAGCACAGTTTTTTGACTCTCCTGTTCACTCATGACGGAGACATACTGCTGCATTGGTAGGTGTTATAGAAGACACTATATTGGCCTAATGTGCAAAAATTTGAGGGAAGTTTTTTCCGATTCAATAGTTAACTTTGCATTTTTATCTAAATTGGGCTCCCTGTGTCGACTGGTAAACAAGTCACGTGAGTGTAGTTCTTCTCAGTTCAGCAAACAAATATGGCGCAGTTGTYTTTGTTGTTTATATTGAGCTTCGTTGCTTCGAGTTTTGCTTCTTCTTCTCTCCTTGGAGGGATAGAAAAAGTAGACCCTAAGGATCCTGAGCTACTCAAGGCGTTAAGCTATGCAGTGGATCTGTATAATATGCGTTCAAACAATCTTTATCGTCAAATGGCGACTGAAGTTAAAGACGCTACAAAACAGGTGAGCTACAGTAAAATATTTTCCACTCGWAAGAAAGTTTTTAGAGGATTTTTAAACCCTTGTTTAAAGTTAAAAAACTATTATTTGTTCAGTCATGTATGCATAAATGATCCGTAAACATCTTAAACCTTTTTGCTAAGGAACAATCAATTTTAAACAACAAATTTGTTGACGTTTTTCGTGTCATGGCACGTACATCACGAAGCCTCGTCTCACATTTTCGACGTCTTTTTGCTTTTTTCTTTCATTTTCGATGTTACTAAACCGTTGTCTTTCTTCTAGATTGTTGCTGGAGAAAAGTTCTGCATTGTAACGGTGATGGGGACATCACGGTCATGTCGAAATGAGGAAAAACACAAATCAGCCACGCTACAAGAATGTCCTGTCGACCATCTTAATGTAAGATTATAGCTTTATAGACAGTAATTCATTCGCTGATATAGGCTAGCAAGTAGTTGTTGYAGTTTTTCAGATAATTGTTTGGCTAAGGGCGTTTTAAAAATGTATAACATTAAGAATTCTGCACACAATTTTGTCAGGATTATTTTTAGAAATATATAATTTGGAAGAGAAGTTCACTTGAACTCAAGTTCGGAGCTAGGAATAGAAAGTGCTTTTGCATCATCTACAGAATTGGAATTCCCCATTGGAAGGATAGGTTTAAGGAAATATGCATTTTGAAATCACATCACATGCAAATATAGGAGTTGGCTTATTTGTGAACAGTTAGGGACAGGTCATAAAGTAAAGGGGGGAGGGTAAAAAACAGGGGGTTCGGAACACAATTTTGAACTTTTTAAAAAGGATTGGCTGTCTATAAAACTGTACATTAGGRGTGGGTCATTTTTCATTTCCTGCATGGTAACTTCATCATGCGGCCATCATATTTTCRACCTCATTTTATACTGGTTGAGCAAAAACAAAGCTCCTTTAAATCCAGTTTTATTCCCYKCCCCTTTTTACTTTATGAACAGTCYCTTYTGACTTGATTAAGTTATGCACAAGCATGTTTWAGGCCAAAATTTAGCTAGAGATCAYATTYTTAGTTCAAGCATGCACCTTTTCATCCACGTTTTGGGGTGAGAACTTGGTTTATGCAAAAAATGAAAAGACTCTTATGGGTGTCAGATTAGTGGATTATGCATGGATGCTTGAAGTCTCAACATGTTAGTTCTAACGAATCTTTCTTTTTAAATTGTTTTTGATTTAGATGCAATGTAAGTTTGAAGTGCTTATTGCACCATGGCAGAAGAAGAGCCCTGAAGATCTCCTCAACTTTGAATGTGCGGGTCTCAATGAAGAGTTATCCTGCACACCTCCTGCAGAAATTTCTAACAACAATCACGATGAAAATGTCAACATGATACATGCAAACAAAGTCAAACTACAGGTGCGTCATTTTGGATTGACTCTCAAATAATCTCTTTTCATCTTATTTCCCATTGGCATAGGGAGGGGGGGGGGTTAAAAGGGAGCAAACTCCCTCCCCAATATGTTTTATTAAACTTGTAGATATTGCGGGAAACTCTAGAGATGAAGAAATATGCATGTGTATTGGCAGGAAAAGGGTACATTAATTATTCCACTATGAGTGAGACCTCCCTGTACTCCTGTTATTACCATTGAAGTACAGTGATACCCCTATTGAGGACACACCCTTTATTAAATAAACAGCTGTACAGCCCTTAAACTCTCATCCTATGCATTTAAAGTAAAATGAACCTCTATTTTGACCACATCATAAAGGACATTTGGGCTCAAAAGATCCCATCTTCACATTATAAAAAAATGCATGATGAGCAAATAAAAAATAGGGGTTACTGACTTTGTTTAGCCAAATTGCATGGAAGTGTTCTTTATATCTGCTTTACAGCTTGCACTTGCCATTTACTTGCAAAATCTAATTAATGTGATGATTTTTTTGTTTAGCCTGTGAATGACGAAGAAAAACTTCAGCTACAAATGTTTGATGATTTCGTTGAGAAGTATGAGAAAAACTATGCRCATGACAAGATAGGTAAGTGAAAAATGCTAGAATTTCTAATGTAAAAAAAAAACATTCAAATTTGATCAAACCATGAAACAACCTCCAGTAAAAAAACTTTCAAATGTGATTGAACCATGAACCAAAGCCCTAGGCCATTCAAAGCCAGGGTATGGCTAACTCACAGATAAAATTAAAACTAGTGAAACCCTTTGAATCCAAAGAGGCCTAATGAACTCTACTCACATGTTATGCCGAGTCCAGAAATCAACCCTGAGACACCCGAGGTGAGAGGCAAGTGTACTACTACTGCTATGCCACCCTTGATTCACTCTATGATATACAGTACAGTACAGTACTCAAGGGGAAGTATAAGACCTTAGTTTGTATTGATTGTACTGTACTGAGCCTGATATGTTTGGAAATCAACAGAATACCTGCGTCGGTTCAAGATATTCCAACAAAACTTGGTACGGGCTAGGAAGATGAAAGAAATGGATTCTGGGACAGCTGAGTATGGTGTTACTCAATTCAGTGACCTCACAGGTATGGAAATGCACTCTATGCACTGTTTTCTGATAATTTCAGACCACCTGCCATTTACTTGACTACTATCGATAAATTTGGCTAAAACTTTGTGACYATGTATCATTACATCATGATGGTCATAAAACATCTAGCAGGAATAATGAGACTGATGGAACTGGATTTCCAAGCTTCACCTACAAAACCGCCAATTTGCCTCGCAGAGAAAATGGCACATTGCATARCATTGCATYGTTTCTGGCACGCAGTRTATTGTAGTTGACTAAGATTCTTTAAGGGTTAAATAATAACTGTTAATTTCCYCTTGAAACTCTATTATTAGTTTTTATYGATCTTTAAGTGTTAATGACATCAATGATTTATTCGACACAGAACATCAGTTAAACACTGCTTCAGGTTAATTTATTTGACTGAATGGGACTTTCTTTGCAATTGTTTCATATTTTTTTTGTTCATTTGTTTAGAAATGATTTAGTTGTTTGGTTTGTTTTCTTTAAGATAAAGCTGTTGTTTGAATTTTTTTTTTTCACTTTTCCTGTTATTAACAGCTGAGGAATTCCAGAAGTCATACATGATGCCAGGTTGGGGCAAGCCTCTGTACGAGATGAAACAAGCAAAGATTCCCAAGGGTGATATCCCAGATAGCTTTGACTGGAGAAMAAAAGGTTTGAAGCCATGAAAAATATTCTCGTTCATTATAATAATTAACAATAATTAAAATTTTCCATTACCTGAGTTTTTATATACGTGTAATATAATAATTTGAAATCTTGGATAAGGATTAGTCTGTCACATGTGGAAACTTCTTCACGATCAGCAGCCAAATCACACATGACATTTTTAACATTATTTTTTTCTTTTATTATTATTTTTGTGTTAGGTGCTGTTACTGCTGTTAAAAACCAGGTTTGTAGGCTTGTATGATGGACCTCTTTACCTTGGTGTACCTTGGGGTATTATTTTCCCATTTTAGACCATATGTCATTCCCTGGAGAATAAGATTCTTTGTTTAAGTTGCATCCATATTCATGTGTCTTCTCATGTGCAACCATTAAACAAAGGAATGATACTCTAGGTAATGACACATGGTCTAACATGAATAAACGTTACATCTAAGATCAGAAGGACTACTTATCTTAAGTACCAACGTCAACATAGAAATGGCTTAGTTTTTCGGAAAGGTTGATTTTAGGCATGTTTGTTTTTGTATTCCAGGGTGTTTGTGGATCTTGTTGGGCTTTTTCTACCACCGGCAATGTTGAGGGACAGTGGGCAATAAAGAAAGGAGAGCTGTTGTCTCTCAGTGAACAAGGTTAGTGTTCATGTATTAGCCATTCAAAGGATGAGTAAAAAATTGAGTCGAGCTTGGATTTGTGGTGCATTTTGGGACCCTTCAAAGGGATATAGATGCATATTTACACATGCATATCAATTAATGCATGTTCTCATTGTTTATTTTGATTCTTCTCTGTTTAGAATTGGTAGACTGTGACAAGGTGGACCAGGGATGTAATGGAGGGCTGCCTGCTAATGCATACAAGCAGATTGAAAAACTTGGTAAATCCATACATACATTATTATTATCCATCCATTCATTCAATTCACTTGCCATCGATCCATCCATCTGTCTACTCACGATGCATCTATCCTAAGCTTCCATCCATTCATTCAATTCACTTGCCATTCCATCGTATTCTCTTGCCATCAATCCATCCATCTGTCTTCCCTCCATGCATTTATCCCATGTATTAATTTACAATACTTATGTAATATATAAGATACGAAAAGAACAGATGATGYTTCGTAAACTGAGGGTTTACCTACTTAACATGTTTCGGCAAAAAATTTTGCCATCTTCAAAAGCGCAAAGAGAGTTGAAAGAAATGGAAAATAAAACGAAAATAAAAGGACTATTGTCAATATAATATTAAGWTTGATATATTTAACTTGTTGGTTAAGCGAAAGCGTCAACCAATAAAGTGCAGAGCTTCCTTTATCTTTAAAGTATACTCATGTGCAGTGTGATCTATTTTCTTGAAACAATCCTATACATATATATATATATTTATTTATTTATATTTATGTATTTCTACCCACTGTTTCCCAGGTGGCCTAGAGACAGAGAAGGAGTACCCATACAGTGGTAGAGACAGCAAGTGCCAGTTTGACAAGTCTGAAGTAAAAGTCACTATTAATGACTCTGTCGCAATCTCYAAAGATGAAAATGGTAAACTTTAAACCTTGCAAATCCTAACTAACAAAATACAGTGGGGTCCCATTATCTGTAACGTTCTGTGCCAAGTTGTACAAAGGATGGATAGTGCTATCTGACTGACAAATCTTATTTATTCATTGGATAACAGCATTGATTTATTCAATCTTTTATTTCTTTTTTCCTAAGAAATGGCTGCCTGGTTAGTCAAGAATGGTCCAATCTCCATTGGAATCAATGCTAATATGATGCAGGTATGTATTGTACATGTAGCAGAGCCAATAYAGTATACATCTGGGCCCAGTTGTATGAAGCCTGGATAGCTCTATCCGATGGATAAATCCTTATCCAGTGGATAATTTTATTGGAAAACAGCATCGACTTATCCACTGGATAAGGATTTATCTGTCAGACAGCGCTATCCAAGCTTCGTACATCTTGGCCCTGTAGATGTGGTATAGATGTTAGTAGAGTTTGTCAGAACTATCCTTTGATTTGAGGGAATTTGTCTAAGTTAAATCTCCCGTTTTCCTCTCTCCACAAACCCCAAGATGCTAAATTAGCCATGCCCTGACATTGACCAGCCCACAGGCCGTAATGTTTCAGGGTTTTTCTTTTGTTTCATCCCCAAGGTAAATCAGCCTAAAGATTGTTTCCAAAGTGCATTCTAATGCCCAATGTTTTTGTACTATTTTCRTTCAGTTTTACCTTGGAGGAGTTGCCCATCCTTGGAAGATTTTCTGTAGTCCTAGCAGCCTGAACCATGGTGTATTGATCGTAGGATATGGAGTCAGTAAGTAGGCACAAAGAAAATAACTTATAAAGCTCTTTACATACACTGGACCCATGGCTATACAGCCTCTGTTATGACTGTGTGTCTTGTAAGCCATGTTTGAGGCTAACATTGCATTGTACATCTCAAGAGGAAGTTTGTTTACACTCACTAGCCTACTCACTAAAGGTGTGAGAGCTGATTGTTAATGGTGCCGTGTTACTGWAAATCTGGAAATATAGTGTATGACTGTGTGTCTTGTAAGCCATGTTTGAGGCTACCATTGCATTGTACATCCTAAGAGGTCTGTTTACACTCACTAACAAAAGGCGTGAGGGCTGACCAGTCATGGTGTTTTGCTAAGTGTCTCATGCTGTGTGTCTTGTGTCTCAAAAGGTCTAATTGTTTTATAATCTTCTTCACAGAACATGGCCTCTTCGGCAGCACCCCATATTGGATTATCAAGAATAGCTGGGGAGCAAGCTGGGGTGTACAGGTAACTGAATCTAAGATATTATCAGGAAAATGTGACACATGATTTGTTTATTTGTAATATTCCCAATCTTTGTTTGCATATTACATCATTATGGACATGTGTTTCACAAATGATATCTCATTAGCTTTCATTGTTCATACCATTGACATGTTTGCCATGTCTGCGTCATTTGACTCTCTTGGGAATGTTCGTAATATTATTGATGAATTGTGTTAACATTATTTCTTGATTGATGATGATGACCGATCGATGATGGTGGATGATTGATGATAAATATAATGATGTTWATAATATTGATAATGACTGATAGATAATGGTGGATGATTGATGATAAATATAATGATGATAATAATRATAATGATGGACAATTGATGATGATGATAGTATAAAATGACTGATTGATAATGTTAAATRATGATAATGATAACTGATGATGATTGATTCATGATGCCAATGATGATAAAGCTGCGACACTTACWAGCAAGTTAATGAAGTCCTCCTCTAATTCTTCTTTCCCTAGGGTTATTATCTTATCTACCGTGGAGGTGGCTGTTGTGGTCTCAACACTGCTTGTACCTCAGCTGTTGTTGACTAACCTAATCACAGACTCGACTCTTAATGTCATGAAATATTTTTTATATATTTAATTCCCTTTCTATCTCACTACACCATTTTGAACTTTTTTTACGAATCATAGAATCAAAAGAAACCAAAAGCTTCGAAAGCTATTCAATGTACCAAAAATACACAAGTTCAATTTTTACATTTACTTCAATTTTTACACATATAAAATTGTAGAATAGAAATGCATTTATGCTCAATCTATATCAATAATTTTAGAGGGAGGGGGACAGAATTWGGAATGTACTTTATTATCTTGGCACTGTATTAACGCTATTTTGATTTTTCATCATATTTGGAATGAGTTGGTACTAGCTATGCTATGAACAGTTATCTGGTAAAAGTTTTTAATATAAAAATTCAGCGATAAAATATCAATTGAAAAGTTGATTTCAAAAATTACACCACYGTTGTTWCAGAAATAATAAAACTCTTTTAATCATTAATATTTTTCTTAAAGGATTTATATGTTTTGTTTCTTTTTACCGAAGATGTATTTAAAGTGCAATTGGCTTTGTATGTCAGGCGATGGCAGGCACATTTTCCACAACCATCTCTAAGAAGAATGGGAACTTGAGGAATCTTGAATGAATGAATGGAAAAGAATTGGAATCACAGAGATGAGAATTGAGCCCGTTGGGTTTCGGAATCGGATTATTTTCAAATTTGTACAAAACCCAGAGGGTAAAAAAGTCAAATGTAAATTTGACAGTGATAAAAAATTGCGTCTATAAACCAAAAAGACGTACTACAAAATTAAGTCCCACTTTATAGCTTGGTAAACATGTTACTTGGGTCAAAAGGCAAGCAAACGAATGTCGAAAGGTCAATTACCTAACAAAAGGGGCAATAATATAAATGGTTATCGTATAAATCATTGTTAATAGAGGGAACCCCTCTATTAACTTTGTATAAATGTACTTTGGGCAATACTAACATTTTGCTTCACAATTAAAAACATTTCCTCAAGGGTATGAAAACTAGCGAAAACTATCATTCTGATGAAGGCTAGCACAAGTTACAGCCTAAACGTCACGTTCTTACATTTATACCATGTTTAAACGCGAAAKCYTCRAAGATACTATGGCCAAAACTAGTTACAGCTATATCGAGAATGGAGTGTCTTGTTCGTGCTCTTAAAGTAAAAAAACTGAAAGAAATGGGTTCTCCGCTTCTCAAAAACCGCGGCAACACACACTCGTGGTTTCCTTCTCCTTTTACAGACCTGCAGACCATAAGGTCAGCCTGAGTATCATTTTAGGGTCACTGAACCTTRGACGTATGTCGTTTGTTTGTAAGTCAATACGAACTCTTACCGGTGGAAAACTTCCACACCTGTTGAAAAAACTACAAAATAATCAAACAAGCCAACTAAAACACGACAAAACTTTATACCACAGAGCTTGGAAATTTAAAATAATTGGTTTATATATACTATTTTGGAAGTAATTTTGAACTGATAAAAAAAGRCTAGGTTTAGAAGCGGTGTTGTGTGCCAAAATGTAATGGCCAAACGGGCAAATGATATGTGAGTTAATTTATACAAAGCTACCGATCAAAACAAATTCAAACAATTCACCAAGTCCTGCAAGGTAGGTGTGTTTTCTTGCAGGTGCTTGAGAAAAACAAACTACCTAATATCGGAAAAATTCCTTTAGAGCTTTGGGTTAGCGGTAAGCGAAGAACAAGTCGTCCAGGAGACAGTTGGTGAGTTGATATTTTACCTTTTCCTTTTAATATATATGAATGAACCCTTCTRAAACCAAGAATTAATGCTAAGTTCGTAGGAAAATGAACCCAATTTTTTTAGAAATAGGAAAGATTTCCGTGTTTTTTCTTAGTTCGAAGATTTRATATAACTTGAATCAACGATTTATAAGATGCTGTGTTTTAACTTCTAATCTTTTGRTCAAGTTAAAAAAGTGGTTTACTATTGAATTACCATTAAGTTTTATTCTTGATTTTTCTCTTTCKTTTTATTTTTCTTTCTTTTCTTTTTTGCAAGTCATATTTTATTTGCAAAACATTGACAACAGCTTGAAAAAAATTCTCGAATCTTTTTTCCTTTTTTATAGCAACAAAATCTATAATCTAAGGTATTCTATTTTTCTTCATTTCTACTTCGTTTACTGCTGTGATGTAAAACTCACACCGTACAGTTTTGATGCTTTCAAACCCAGCTTCAAGATTTTATCATTAGAGAAGTCAGTACGCATATTTTAAAATTTCAGTAGGAAAATTTCGATTTCTTCTTGCAGTATACGACCCAAAATGGAAGTCACTTTGCTGATACTGTCAGCATTCATATGCGGAACTTTGGGTAAGTCTTTTACCAACGTTTTTGGGTAAGTTTTTTAAATACTTCGTAAGCTTGTAATGGTTTGAGCCAAACACRACCATGGCAAAACTGAAAATGGTCATTACGTAGGAATGGCATGACATCAACTTTGAATCGATTGGCATCAGCTGTTTTTGCTTTCTCAACTTTTCATATTCTCACTACAAGACCAAATGATTCTGATAACGCTAWTTCATTCGCTAAATTTCTGATATTTCCATAACCATTCAATCTTGATGTCACTACGTACACTTACCAGAACATTTCGAATATGTTTTCAAAGAAATTTCCTCCCATTTCTAAAACCAAGATTATTTTTTTAATTCCCAATTTGTCGCACACAGATTTTAACTTTTATGGACTTAAAGGGATTTATTTGCAGAGTAAAACTCTAAATATTATAAATACTTATTTCAGTCGTTGAATCGAAAATTCAAAGATTCAAAAATCCTTCACTCGCACATTACTCTCTTGCGCAATTGACTTAATTACAGTTATGAGGAAAAAGGCATCCGGCAATCTTATTTGTTTCGATCTTAATTTTTTAAATACCAGACATAAATACTAGTCGACTAAAAAAATCTTATAAATTAATTTGTTTYATGGTTGTATAGCCGTTCCCCTCGTACGAGAAAGAAGACAGTACGCCGTGCAGTATGGAACTACTTATTCATCTCCATATTCATCATATTATGGGATGCCTATGCAAGCACAAGAGACTGAGTGTCAAATGAGGCGACGCATGAGCGAGCCATCGTGGACCAAGCCTGAATGTAATCCTGATGGCTCGTTCAGAGAGTACCAGTGCGAGCCGTACTCGAGGTTCAAGTGTTGGTGCGTGTACTCTAACGGCATGATGATTCCAGGTAAGATTGGTTATATAGTACAGCCAGACACATGATGATGATGATGGTACGGTACGACAAATGCCCGGGGGGGGGGGGGATACTCTTGCCAGTTTAGGTTAGGGATGTGCCGCTGAGCCCACTGAACCCTGACCCAGTTCCAGAGTAAAATTGCTGAAATTCATACCCTGTTCCAGAGCAAGATCGCTGAACATCACAACCTGTTCCGGTATTGCGAAAATGGATACCCTGTTCCAGAGAGGAGAGAGCGTGATTTCATATACCCTGTCCCAGAGCGAGCGCGATTTTATATACCATGTTCCAGAATAGAATCGCTGAAAACCATACCCTGTTTGGCGGCACGTACCCGTATAGCGAATATAGGGGAGTAGCCCCCCCTCCCCCCCCGGGGACAAATGATGCTGGATGATGGTTGAACCAGTTATAGGGAATCTTAAAACCTGCCATAAAAGACGTTCACGCGGGTGTGATATCGCTACAGTCGATTGTGATATACAGGATAGCCTAACGCTTATCTGGTCACGACACGACACGGCACACGCGCATCTGCACCCCAAGTACTTCTTTTCAGTCATGACGAATCTCAATCTCGTACCCAGATTCTTTATTTTGTGCATGTTGGACGAAAATTATCTCGTCGAGCATGCGCAGTAAGAAATAAAGGCTCTGGTACGGATCAGCTCTCAACTTTTTTTCCTGGAATTCCGTAATTTAACTGAAATAATGGAATGCGAAATCTGCTAAAATTAATTGAGCTGTGCTATCTATAACTGATTAGACATATCTATAATTAGACATGTGACAAGATTTGAATGTTTCAGGATTGTATGATTCACTGAGGACTAATATGGTTTTGAATTCAACTGAGTTATTTTTAATTTTTCCCGCGCAGGTTCAGAGAAGGACTTCAAAGGTGACCCAGAAGTCGAAAGCAAGAAAATGAACTGTGCAGCCAAACGTGCCAGCGCCCCAAAACCAGCCCCCAAACCACCACCAGTCAAGACTCCGTACCAGGACCGTAGCATCGGGTGGCACCTGGCTTACCGAGATGCCGCTATAAGAAATAACCCGTACGGAGCTCTCTACGCCATGTACGGCTACCCGGCATACGGCGCAATGCCTTACTACCCTCAGCCTGCTGTCTCTTACAGCGCCCCGGTGTCTCCCCCTGTATCTACTTACTCTTCCGCACCTGTATCTTCTTACACGGGATGCCCCGATCCTTGTCTTCCTCCCTGTAATTGCGTACCTGGTACATACCGGGGAGTACTTCCACATGTTAACAAAGGGCATCTTCCCGTCAAGRCAATGCCTGTTGCGGATAAGGAAGAGGATRAGGAAGACGAGGATGAACCAGAAGAKGAGAAGAAATCCGAGGATGAGTCATCACAAGATGATGACGATGATGACAAAGATGATGATGATGTGAACAATGAAACAGAAAAGAATGAAGATGACAAGAATGCAGTAGCAGCARAAGAAGAAGAAGAAGACATCGATAAAGAAAAGGCAAAAGAAGACAAACCCAGCACGAAAAAGGAGGAGAATAAGAAAGACGAACCAGCTAAGACAAAGGTCGAAAACAACAAGAAAGCTACTCCAGAGAAAAAGGAAGACACCTTAAACAAGAAGGAAGTTAAAGAAACCAAGACTGTTGTCGAAACGAAAAAGAATGACGAAAAAACGGTCAAAAAGACACAAGATGGTATGTCTAGTATAGTGATGTGCATGCACGCAAAAGCTAGCAAAATGGGCGGGAAATAGGTACTGGTGGGCACGCGCGTTTGAAGAAAGTGACGATAAAAATTGGCGGGAAAAAAGCATCAATGTGATTTCACTTTGAAATTGAAAAAATAACATCTCAGTTTATTTCTCAGTGATATTTTTATTTATGATAAAAAAGAAAGATTTCAAAAATGAAATATAATTTTCGATTTGAAAATACCTCGGGGAATGCAATAATCGTTCTTTCGTTTTTTGAGCTTGCGGCAATGTCTCTAGTGATATTATATGATGTTCATTTTGAATTCTTTTTCAGCCAAAAAGAGTGACAAACCAGAGAAAAAGGACAAGCAAATCGATGGTATTGATGAAGAAGACGAAGAAGACGTCTAACCATAGTAACCATTGATTGTCTAACGACCAGTCTTTCATTTATTGTTCTCGTCGTGTAACTGATGGTGKTGTAAAGTTTCGTATTAAAATCGTCAAATTTTGAAGAAAAACATTTTCTTCTATATTCACGACTCCGACAAACGATACTATAAGTATGAGTGAAAATAACTTCCCTCTGCACARCAGTTCACATTTTAAAATCTAAACTCCAATAGTCCCCTTCACAGCTCCCTGCGCCATCTTGAAATGTAGCCGTGACTTTGCATCGAAGCGAGACAAACGCTGAGCTTGCAATGATAGAGACCTTTTTTTACGGCACCTTGAACGATTATTCACATGTCTCTATCATTACAAGCTCACCGTTCGTCTCGCTTCGATGCAAAGGCACGGCTACCTTTCAAGATGGCGCAGGGAACTGTGAAGGGGACTATTGGCTGGGGACAATTTAGTGTTTCTTGGGAACGAAGATCAGTGATGCTGCAACAGAAATCGTCCGCCCCCCTCCCCACCCCCCTCCCAAATTCGATAATTCGATAAATAATGACCGGTTCCTTGGACTTTATAGATACACTGCGAAATCTCTATATTCCCTCTGTTCATGTAGAGTTTTATGTCCTTTTATGGCTGTGATTTCAATGATAAGAGAACTAAAAAGGCTCCGTCATTGAGAACGACACGAAAAGTGAACTTATTGGAGCGATTGGATAAACAATTTAACAATCATTTTATTGGAAAAATCCTTATCAGAAAAACACTTAAGCTAGAAGGCTTAAGCACCTTTCTAGAGCTTTCTATCGCTGAGATTCCTTCGTCTATCGTGTTTGAAAGCATCTCTCATCAGTGATTACTGAGCTGATCTTGTCAAAAGCCATAATACAACAAAAGAATGTTGTCTGTGTTTAATACCCGCTTGAGGCAAATTTGCTGCTTTTAAAACCTTGATACCCTTAAACGACCTTTGTCTTTGAGCTGAACAAMAGTCAGGGCACTGCTAACTCACAGATTGAATTGGATTTAAAGTATTAGCCTAGGTTTTGCGGAGGGGAGGAAAACTGGAGAACCCAGAGAAAAACTAGTGTTTTCATTCGAATCACGGGAGAGAATGGCTGTGGTAAAACAGTGATTCCAAAATGGAAATAAGGAAGGATTCAAATGAGGTATTATTAGGGGAACCAAGAGAATATGATTCTCTTAGGGGGACTTATTTTTTATACATATTTGTTTAATTTTCAATGCACTCTTCACAAAATTGTCGTAGATGCAAGGCTAACATGGAAACACATCTGGATGGAATTTGTGTCATTCCTTTTGTATTTCAGTGCATGTGAGCCTTGCATCCAAGATAATTTTCAGAAGGGTCCATTCCAACGGTGAAAGACAAGCCCCTTGTCTTTCCCCTCAGGCCAGTCTACTCGTGCAATATATGTACACGCTACGGCAATCTTTAACATCACAGAAGTTTATCTTTAACTTGAATACTTCGGCTTAATTCTGTAGACTGTAGAAGAAAACGATGGATTTTCGTAGAAAGCATAACAAAAGATTCTCCAACGTTCTCACTCTTCCTCGATTACTAACGGTCCAYTAAAGGCGCGATTACACGTGGGTGCAATTTTCTCTGCAACTTGTCTCGCAACGGCGTTGAGACACAAGTTGCATGGAGCTTTGCAGCGTGTAACCTACAGCGCAATCTGAAAAATGTTGCGAGGCAAGTTGCAGCAATTGTTGCAAAAAGTAGAATTTATTTCTACTTTTGGCAATGATTGCGTCTCCGTTGCACCGTGTAGACAATCTTGCAACTTCTATCGCAAAGCTGTTGGGAGACAACTTGCAGAGAAAATTGCTCCGTGTAAGCGAGCCTTAAGCGCATCGTTTACAACTAGAGTGCATATCATATTTCCTTCAAAAGCTTTGTAAGAAATTGCACAAATTTGCACAAATAAGTAAGTTCAGTAGACATCAGTAGACCGTAGACCTACAAATCTTTGTACTGAATTTGTACAAATTTTCACGGATATATGGTATGTACTCTACTGTCACAGCAAAAAAACGTAATTTCTATTTTTTTTWAATAGAAAATTCTAGTTTTTGTTCGCAATAAAGAGGGGAGAAAAATGCACAATTCTTCCAAAACGATATTGCCAAGCATCGGAAAACTTGAGTATCACTGGTTATAAAGCATCCAGAAAAGTTTTCTTATTAATGTTTTTAAGCATAGAGCTATCTTCATCTCGATCCGTAGAAAATAACTATTGATTTTATCATCCAGTAACATCTTAATTGCTATTATTTAGGCGGGGAATTGTCTTGTGAAGTGAAGTGGATTGCCCAGCAGCATCAAGGGTCATGTCATCATTCTTGCTTGACAATCAACTTGAAAATAAAATCATAATAAAAAATATAAATATTTACTGCATTCAGCATTGGTTTATGCAATTATTTAAAGGTGCTTCAGTAGCTTTTGCGCGTTAAATTTTGATTTTTTCTTAGCCGTGAGAACGAAAATGTGGATCTAGAGTTGTGTTTCAGAAGACTCCGTTTTCATTGCTATCTTAGCTTTACGTGACTTGGAGTATCTCACGCAAATCTTACCTTATCGCGAACTAACTATTAATTGTCTTCAAATAAGGCAACGTCTATTTTAAGCATACCGGTACGGTAAAAATAAAATAAAGTCTTGATTGATACTACACTAGAAAAACAAGTATACTAGTAAACGAACAAGCAAGGAAGGAAGCATACAAAGAAGCATACATAGAAGCACTATATACAAAGAAGAAAAGAAACAAGCAAACAGTCAAGGAAGGAAGAAAGCATACGAACAGGCAAACCGCAAGCAAACGAGCAAACGAGCAAACGAGCAAACGAGCAAACGAGCAAACGAGCAAACGAGCAAAACAATATTAGCAGCGTGCTGCAGTCCAGTCCCCCAAGCCTTGTAACATTTCTATCAAGTTGAATCACCCCCCATAGTAAGCAATTAAGCGGCCGTTAGTCATTACCCCAACCTAATTATACACTCAATGATTTATATGCGTCATCTCTGCGTGCTAGGTGTCATCAGAAAGGCTATAACTGTACTATCTGCCAGTGTTGCTTTCAATTTGCTTTTTTTAGACCCAGTCTGCATTCCTTAGTGGTCTTGGCTTTCATACCTCACTGGGTTATTACTGCGCTATTGTGTCAGTTTTAGTACGTGCTTGTGTCGATGACTTAACTCAGACTTGAATCCAGAAATAATACGGAGTTTAATTTGAACGCGGAGGAGTTTTTGACAGTAGCATACAAAAAACAAGGTATGTGCTATCGTATCGTCAAAGGTACAGTATACTTCTGTGAAGTTGATAGAACGCTAACATAGCTCTTCTGACAGCATCAAAAACGTTTTTCAGATAGAGGGAGTTTTACTTATGACGGTTTTTCTTCCCGCAAACGGCACGGCAAGCATGACCACGTTTTCATCGTTTTACTTAACCTTTTGCAAACCTTCTCACTCCACACAAATATTCTTTTGTTTTTCTACCACTTGGATTGTTTTTTGCAATTCCTTTTCCGGAGTTTATAATAATTTTTCACCGTTCAACCGTGAACGAAAATCTAAAACTCTCTATTCAATTCGTTTTACTTGGAACTTATAAACTAGACTTGTGATGTTGTTGTAGCCACTGGCAGTTTAACTGAATTATCATCAACCAATTTTCCTATATTTATTGCCGACATGAGAGAGTACTTAAAATCAACACAACCTTCTTGAGTTCAATGAACATATGTTTTAGCGTGTTTGGATTGCAAACAAAAAATACAAGTGTTCAAATCGATACAGATAGAATGTTAATCATATCTAATACAGTTAGTTTCTGTTGGCGTAACTTTATATTATGCAATGTATAGTTAAACTGCAAGTATTTACAATTCCTAGCATATTTTTGAGGGATATGTAGATGATATTTATTGTCTCATAGTGACGAATGAGAAACAGCAAAAGATAGAATTGACACATAACAATGATCATATCGATGGTGGAAAAATCTTCTCAAATGACTGCCTTGTAAATAGGAATGGTAAACTTATCCCAATAAGAGAATTAAGATAGCAAATTGATTGGTTATCCGCTCAAGTTTAAGAACTTCCTCGCTAATTGTTTCCATCTCGAGATATCGGGCAAGCTACGAAAATAACCTAAAGATGAAGCCGAAGGTTTAATAGGGTACTTGACCCGGACGCATATGTTTAGGGCAAACAGGACAGATTGGATCACCATTCTGATACTGCTGCGAATCTAAGTTTAAAACTCGAGACTTGTACGATAAGATGCTGAGCACCGTCAAGCCAACAGCGGTTTAGTCCATTTTAAAGTGTTCGATGAAAACATTTTTTGAATGAAATTTTTCTGTGAAAATTAAGTTCAAGGTCAGTACTTCGCGCACGCGTCATGGGAAATGCGCCGGAATATTCTGGATGCTCGGTTTTAGTTTTTTTTTTCGATTTTTCTCCCTCTTCAAAATGGACTCCTTTATTGCARGTCTGCTGTATCTGCTGTAGGTGGAGTTTGTAAGTTTTAGCATCACATTATAGCATTGTCTGTTGCTATTGCAGACGTCATAGAAGCTATAAGATTTTAGAGTGCGATTTTAAGTAGAAGGAGGACTGAGCTTATCATAAGGTTAGATATTCGAAAATTACTGAATTTGAGCGTCCGACTACCTTGTACACCCAAGTAAACGGCTTTGCGCATTGTCAGTGCAAAAAAACCAGCTCATTCTACTTAGGCTTTTAAATACATGCCAATCGAATAATCTAAAGTTTATGCTACGAAGTGTCAAAAGAGGATTTCTTTCTGTTCAGTTATCCCTGCGTTAGCCATTATCAYTCCTAATGATGTTCTTAACAACCATATCACGACCATCAGTGTAACTTGTATTTGATCTATTTTCATTCGGTCTTAGCTCAAATGCCGAAATAGTCTTAAATATAATCTACCCAAGGCCAACCCATCCGGCTTATTTTCAGTTTAATCATTACCATGCCTATATATGTAGCCGAGAGGCAGATTCTAGATCACTTAGATTTGTGTTGCTATAAATAAAGCTACTTAAGTTCAACTGGCGATGGATCTTAGACTTAAGTGCGTCGGGAGCGCGAGGCGAAGGCGATCGATGCAAGGCCGAGGACCAATAATTGCTCATTTTTAAAGCCGTTTAAAGTATGTTAAAACGATTTWATCCATAATTGCCAGCTCGTTTATGGAATCTGGTGTAATTTCACAAGAACATTTTCTCTTTGTCTAGCAGATATTTTAAGGACAGTATTTCAGGATTACCGTGGGTGAACAATGAGAAGACGCAAGAACAGTCAGCAGCCTAATCTGAAGTGTGTTCGTGTGATGGTGATGGGAAAAGACGGTGTTGGAAAAACAGGTAAACTATTCTTCCCACAACTTTGAAACGTCACAGGAAATTAACGTTTAGTAAAGTATGCGACAGCGTGGGTAGCTAGTGCGCTTACTCTTGCTGTCAGGTCTGGGAGTCCCGTCTTGGTACTGGTGCATGCGGAGAAAAAAAATATTCAAAGAGATATGTGAGGATATGTAGTGGCAAGTTCCTGCCCGCCATGTCTGCCTGCTGAGATGCGCAGGGGTTTTGATGCAACTCTGGGCACTGCCGAGCGCAAAGGGAGTAGAATTTATCGTAAGAGTTATACAAGGAACATGAACAGTTTTGCGCCCGTCGCGTTTCAGACGATTTAATCCTCCTATGACAAAACATATGAACTTTTTGTCTGGAGCAAACTGAATGCGTCAGAAATATGCGGCTTATCGAAGCTTAGGGATGGTGAGGTGGTGATGGCGTTGAAATACGAACGGATTGCATGACGATTGTGATGGCGAAAATGATGATAGCGATGATGACGATGATAAAGATGAAGATGAAGAGGATGTTGACGGATGATGATGATAATGATGATGATTATGTTAAAGGATAATGATGATGCAAACGATGATGATTCATGCCAGTACTTATTCGTCTTTGCAGCTCTTATCGTAAGATATCTGACGAGGCGATATATCCACGAGTACGACAAGACTCTAGAATCGACCTATCGACATCACCTTCAAATTGAAAACGAATTTATCTATCTAGATTTAATGGACACGGCGGGTGAGGTGGGTACCTTTGGGATGTTCCCTGGAACATTGATCTGTTTTCCATGTCTCTCCACGCGAAGGGATCCGAAATTCAAAACAAAAACAAAAAACAAAACAAAACAAAACAAAACAAAACTGATTGAAATAATGGAATGGAATCCGAATCAAAGACCTTGAATCCAAAAACCGGAATACTCTTTAAACGTTGCGCAATCCGTAATTATCTGGCCGTTTGTATAAATACAAGAGGGGAGGAAAAGTTAGCTATCTTTCTAAAAGTTAAAGAAGAATATGAAGTCGTTGTATGTATACCTTTTTAGCATATACCAACTTGTGTACTTCCTAAGAACGCGCGCRCTCATTGGTAGCAATTATTCGCCTCAGACTCAGTGAATATGGAGAATATTTACTTTGCCTTCATTTCGGCGAATAATTGCTATACTTATACTCGCCTCTTACCTCTAGGAGTCACGGCGGGTTGGATTCCTTACTAAACTCGGCATCTTATGTGAAAAGAGATCGTTAATAGGTCTCTCCCTTGCAACAATTTGAGGGTTTTTTCCCCGGGTTCGAGCCCCGGTTTTCCTTCCTCCATGAAACTTAAAGAGCTAAATTCCAATTAAATCTGTAAGTCTAACTGGCTTTGATAAGCCCAGAGGTTTGTTTCAGGGTATCGATAGAACGATTTGAAGCCGTGATGACATTAAACTTGATTATACTCCTTTTGCTGAGTTTGTTGCGGCTACTGTGCATGACTCAACTAATGTAGACCGACCCTGATTATTTTTAATCCGATGTACTGTGTTTTAATTTGGCATTGTTGTATTTTTTCTTCAAGAACAACCAGTCCAAACTCGAGCGCTGTCTCTCCAACGGCGACATGTTCCTTCTGCTTTACTCAATCGTCGACCACGCATCGTTCGACGAGGTAGCGCGCATCGCGCGTTACATCAAAGATCACAAATACCAAGAAGCACGCCTATTGATCTTAATAGGAAACAAGCGTGATTTAGGACACATACGGAAGGTAGATGAGACTGAAGGGAGTGCCTTAGCACAGGAACTTGACTGCCCTTTCTATGAAATATCAGTATCTGAATGCGACGGCTACAAAGAGGTATCTGATATGGTCTACATGTGTCTGAAGAAATATCTACAAAACGATAAACAAGACATGACAAAAGCACGGGTTGCCAGTAGCACCTCTTCACTTATAAAAATGAAAGACGGTTGGATGCGCAAAGCTGGGGCCATGAGACGCAAATCGGTTACTACTTTATAGCATTAGTGCGCATGTCATGTGCATGAGCTGCGCTGACCAGACATATAGAATTTTATATCAAATACGTTGTCATCGAGAACATAAGTATGTTGAACTGCGGATTTTAATTAATTGTAAATATCTTGTTTTAGAAACACATAATGTAGGGCTGTYAACTTTCCCGGATAAACCGGGAGTCTCCAGATTTTGGACCGTGTCTCCCGGTCTCCAGATTAGAGTATCAAATCTCCCGGATAATCCCCGAAGCTGACCATTTCTTTTCTTGTGAGACTAGACTTTCACAACCATAAAATTCCTATTGTTGTTTGTGTTATTTTATATCGCTAACAAAATCAAAACGTTCCTCATGAACTGTTCTTGCAAGCAGGCCATTGTAATATAAGCGATTATCTGATTGGTCAGAAATAAACCAATCACATCAAATGTTACAAAGCGAAAGACGTCTTTTCGCGCGCTTTTTGAAGCGCTGTGACGTCATGCCCCTTCCCTATCAATTCTCCAGATTTGAATATCTTGGGGGTTGACAGCCCTGACATATACTTTTTCAAACTCTCTACTTTGTACGTTTCATACAGCATAATAGAATGCAAGTAGTAACTTATGATTGTCAAATTAATATTTGAACCTGTGTTGAAGATTTACTGTCAAAAGAGACAAGTCAGATGGTGAAGGCTCCTGTGGCTTCGTATGGTGGTCCATAAGAGACATGCAGCAAGTTAGACGGGTTGCTGCATGATCAGTTGCTGCATCAGTTAGACCAGTTGCTGCATCTTAATGCGGAACGAGCTGTCGTGACGAGTTTGCCATAACTTACAGCACTCGTCCAACACAGTGCAGTAACTCGTTTCTATCTTATTTTCAGCAGCTCGTAAAACTTGCTCTATGTCTCTCAGCTTACGGGTCACTGTAGCCTCTTTCCTTTCCCTTCCCGGCCCTAAGCTCTTTGYCTTTTGGTCATAAATAGACATAAAATCAAGAAGTTGATAAAAGTAGTAATTATGACAATATTCATGAAAAAGATTGACCACATGAAAAAGATTGACCATGAGAATTACAACATCAGCAACACAGGCAATTTATTGGATTTACTGATCATAGCAAGGGGTTAATCATCTACGGTCTAGAAGCCGACTAACCTCTCCCTTAGGCTTCGGTCGAGCTTCCTGGCGAAATCTCCGGCCTATCCGTGATACCATACGAAGCTTCAGCATTCGATGTCTGAAAGTATGGTCCCCGGTTATGTGTTTTGTAATTACTCATTAAAAATGAATTCAAAAAAATATCTCTTTTTTACCACCCTCCCCTCCCCCGGAACAATTTTTAAACTGCTGACCAAAAGTACAGCTGTTTCATATTGAGCAACAACAACATGGCCGCCACCAYGTGAAAATTCTTCTCCAAATAAAATCTTCTAAGAACTCTTCAAAAATCAAAATAAAACGTACCTCTGTCAACATGGTTCGTATGAGGAAAGCCAAGGGACAGAAATGGAGGAAAGGACATAGCTGCGAGTCTAATCCCAAGACGAACAAACATCGGTCCCAGATGCGAAGAGGAGTGATAACTGGACAGAATGTTGGAAATACTTCGAATCTAACGACCAAAGCACTACAAAAACACAACGAAATACAGGACTCGAATATAGAATATGATGAAGATGATGTGATGAGCACGAAGAGTGCTGGGTTGTTTAGTATAGGAGGTCTTACGGATTGTTCTAATCCTGTTTTTGAGAACGTGAAGCGTTTTTGGAACTCGCAAGCCAGTCACCAGAAAGAGGTTGGTTTTATCTGTCTAGTTTTTTAAGTATTAAAGTCGTTTTAGTTTCAAAAATTGAAGATACGAATCAATATATCTGGTTAACAGTATTCAAAGTCTTTTATTGAACCCTTAAACAACCTCTAAGCTGATCAAAGTCATGGCATGGCTAATCAATAACTCACATGTCCAAGTGGGATTTAGCTTGTTACTGTAGGTTCTGTGGCTGCCATGACGTCACATGAAAAACCTCTATAGATGAGAGTAGAATTTTTATGACTGTGAATGGCATAACATAAGGCAAAGGGCAATGTTACAGTGTTGTTGACAATATTTGAACCACAACATTTCCAATCCATGCTTACCCAATGAAAATGACTAGACATGTTATAGTCCAGATGCTGGCCCTTTCTTTGACCACTGTGCTTTTTTGGGATGCCTGTCCTTTCTGTGTCAATCACAGGCTGTCCAAAAACTACAGAACAGTCAAAGGAGGGGGCAACACTGGACCAAGACACATTACAACAGCTATACAAGTTTCAGGACTCAGTATCGTTAAACCTTCTTGAAATACAGTCTTTTTGTAATTGAATTTTCCTTCCCAGACTACACAACAAATGACATAGGGCTACTAATGAAATAGGATGTACATTGAACATGTGTTATTGCTTTTTTTCTGAAGATTTGTGCAGTACTTGCAGCTGTGACAGAGGTAAATATAAACCAGTATTTAGTGAAGAAATAGAAAATGTATACATGTTCTGTGTGCAGTTATAAAGCAACTGGGTTTTATCAAAACATAAGAGAAATGTTAGAAGAAGGAATGAAGTATGCATGATGCATGCTCACAAAGCACCAAACAATCTTTATAAAGGCCGGTTTAGATGGTACGATTTTTGCCTACAACTATCGTATACAACACACGTGCGCCATCCTACAACTAGAGTCATAGCATGTAAATCAAGCCTACAACTTGCCTACAACAGATGCAAGCATGTTGTATACGTTAGTTGTAGGCGATAATTGTACCGTCTAAACCTGCCTTAAAACATATAACGTAGAGAGTAAGCTCCATTGATTGTTTACTGCTAATGTTGTGGGTAGGAATAAAAAGTGTGGTTGGTTTACCTCAGGTTATCAAAGCACAAGGAGGGAATGAAACAGAAGTAGAGTACTTTGCAACACTGGTAAGCCATTTTAGAGACCTTTAGATCCAACAAAAACATGTACAAGTTTTAAAATTGATCAATTTCCAATCCTTTGTGACCTAAAATTTCAATCCACGTACGTAACCAAAACTATGATAGTGCCAATCTTTAAAAGCTAAAAACTCGTACTTATCTTCAGATCTAAAGTTTGCTATATTTATGACTATGAAACAACTTTGATAAAATTTAAAAAAATAAATCCACTTTATTTACATCTCGATGTATTTTAGCACTTCAGAACTAATTGGGGAGACAAATTAGAAACTGAAATAGATAAATATAAACATAATACTGTTAAGAAATCCCAACTGGCAWGGAGGCAAACCAGTAGGCTATTTACAAGCATGGTTGAGAAACTGAATTTGAACTGATCAGGAATCAGGACAAATACAGTCTCAGCTAGTGGCCACAGCAATGCTATGACCACTCGACCGCGCTGCCTCCTACAAGTACTACACAATAAAACAAGATTACATTGTATAGCTCATGACTGTTTTATACTGATGAAATTTATATTTTCTTTGAATTGGCCAGATGACAGCTCTCGAGTCAGCAGAGAATGAAGAATCCCTCACAGCAATAGCTTATCTTCTCACTCTAGTCATAAAAAGGTACAGACTGTTTAACATCAATCAAAATATAGCAAAGAAAGCCCTCAGAGCACAGGAGAAAACCAATACATATACTGTAGTTTTTGGGTATTGACTCCCATCCTTGGTTGTACTTCAATATTTATTAATTAGAATCTTTGGGTTGTATCTAGTGTACCAGAGTCTATTTTGAAAACCAAGTTTTCCAAGGCAGCAAAAATACTCCTAACTACTTTAGGAGGATATGCTGGAGATGGAGCAACCTCTTTGCTTAGATCGGTAAGTGAGCATTAATTTTAATTATGTTGATGACAGCAAGGACGAGGATGATGATAATGATGGTGATAGTAATATTAATAAATATAGGTTATCAGTTGGCTAAGCATTTAAAACTGCTATGTATTTTTTGAGTGACAAGATCAGATGCTTAGCCAACTGATAAGTTTAATATTTATCTTTTCCTATATCACGCATGTTGTTGCAGTATTAAATGATATGAATATTAATTATAATATTTTTATTACTTTCCACAGCTTATTGCATGTTTAAGTAGACTTCTCATGGTACAAGACAATGCTGYGTGGTCAGAACCCTCGACAATGAAGACATATCATGGCTTACTAAGCTTTACTATCCACAGTAAACCTAAGGTATGTATTCACCTCTTTCCATACATCAGTTTACTGGTCAAACACAAAGCATTCAATTCCTTTTGTGGTAACCCACCTCATCAAGTGACGCGGGTCACCACTTCACGGCAGCCATCTTCTAGCTAAGGGTGATAAAGAGGGAGTACGAATCACATTTCACAAAATAACGAAAATGGCCATTTCACATTTCACCAAAAGTAGATTTAAACCAGTCAAATCATGTTGCACAAAATATCTCTTTACTATCCTCATCATCTAGGGCAAGGACAATACGAATATTTTTTAGATGACAGGAAAGGTATACAAGAAAGTGAATCATCTAGAGCATAGCTGTTATTAATATTWTTTATTTTTTATTTAGGTGCGTAGGTGTGCCCATGAAGCTGTTGAGATGTTGTTGAAGAAGCCAAGAACTGGCTCAGACTTTCATCCTGCAGCTGCTGCTACTGCAAAGTTTTGCATGCAACAAATACAGGAACATGGAGGTAAAATGAAAACACCACCCCGTTATTAGGCAAGCATCAATCAAATTCATACCCTGAAACAACTCCTGTGTTGATCTAAGTCAGGGCATGAATACCTCACAGATCGATCCCAAAAAAAACTTCTGGGCTGATGGCTAACTCACAGATTTGACCCTGAAACAACTCCTGTGCTGATCGAAGTCAGGGCTCGGCTAACTCACAGATTCAACCCTGAAACAACCTCTGGGTTGGAGTCTGAACACAGTTAGCTTCCCTCAAAGTAGAAGGCTTATAGTTCATTTTGTTTATTATTGTTAATGAAAATTGTGGAGACATTAAACTATCTAGCCCCTGTGTCAGTCACCCATGTAATAACCTCTTGATCATTAGATATTGTTATTATTGACTTGTTGTTGGTGTTTTAGGTTCATCAAAGTCAATAACCACACTACACATTATTGGACTGCTGAAAGATATTCTGCCACTATTACCCTGTCAGGTAAACTCCTACTAGTCTAAATGTTTATGCAATTATGCAAAGTCCTACATTTTCATCATAATGACTTGTAAATTTAACAAACTGACATCAGTTTTTTATGTGTATGTCCTATTATTGACGATAAATATTGTGTCATCACATTGTTAAAGTAGTGTGGTTCCACGAGGCCTACTACTTTCAAAATGTGATGATGCAATTTATCATTAGCCTATCTGTCTATCCTCTTATTGATGTTAAAAAAACCAATCAGCAGGCATGAAATTTGTAAGTTATGGTAAAAAACACATTACCATGGATTTATGTATCTTTTTTAATCTATCTCTTATTGGAAACATTTTTTAGAATGTCAAGGCAGTCTGTGAAAATTTGTTAAAGCTCATGACACTTGGAGATGTGGTAAGGTTTAGGAGAGATCGGTTGAAGAGCTTTCATAAGTAGGAAGGGAAAGAAATGTGTAGTACTGTGATGAAGCAACTTACTTCCCAACCACTTACCAACCACTTACCAACCACTTACCAACCACTTACCAACCACTTACCAACCACTTACCAACCACTTACCAACCACTGACCAACCACTGACCAACCACTTACCAACCACTTACTGACCACTTACCAACCACTTACTGACCACTTACCAACCACTTACCAACCACTAACTAACCACTTACCAACCACTTACCAACCACTTACCAGCCACTTACCAACCACTTACCAACCACCTACCAACCACCTACCAACCACTTACCAACCACCTACCAACCACCTACCAACTACTTACCACCACTTACCAACCACTTACCAACCACTTACCAACCACCTACCAACCACCTACCAACCACTTACCACCACTTACCAACCACTTACCAACCACTTACCAACCACCTACCAACCACCTACCAACCACTTACCAACTACTTACCACCACTTACCAACCACTTACCAACCACTTACCAACCACTTACCAACCACTTACCAGCCACTTACCAACCACTTACCAACCACTTACCAACCACCTACCAACCACTTACCAACCACCTACCAACCACCTACCAACCACCTACCAACCACTTACCAACCACTTACCACCACTTACCAACCACTTACCAACCACTTATCAACCACTTATCAACCACTTACCAACCACCTACCAACCACTTACCAACTACCTACCAACCACTTACCGACCACCTACCAACCACCTACCAACCACCTACCAACCACCTACCAACCACCTACCAACCACCTACCAACCACTTACCAACCACCTACCAACCACCTATCAACCACTTACCAACCACTTACCAACCACTTACCAACCACTTACCAACCACTTACCAACCACTTACCAACCATTTACCAACCACTTACCAACTACCTACCAACCATTTACCGACACCTTACTGTACGATGTGTATTGATCACAATAGCCATGAAGATCTATTACCTTCTTTTGACTGACCATATTTTCCCTTCAGATGGTAACAGTGAATGCGTTACAAGCAATGTTCAAGTTATTCACAGCATCAACCAGTACAGCAACATTATCAGTTGAGCTAAATGCTCAAATCATTAATGTGAGTAGTCTTTGTCTCTTCCTTCGGCTAAAGATTTTTCCTGGCCAACTGTAGGGTGCTTCTGCTTGTACCACAAACCTATTGTATTCTTTCAATGCTAGCTTCTGTTGTACATTGTATAACTTGAGGTCTTTCGTTTTTTCCTATTGAATTATATAGACAGTGACCAGGAGACAATTTTTAATAGGCCCTTTTTCAGACCACATGTCATTCCCTAGAGAATAAGATTCTTCATTTGAGTTGCATCTATATTCATGTCTCTCCTCATACACAACCATTAAACAAAGAAGTAATACTCTAGGGAATGATGAGTGGCCTGAGATGGGAGAACATCACGCCCACCCAAAAAAGCCAAAACCTGCAAGTTCTTTCGCTCTCAACAATCTGATTTATCTTGCTTTGTTAGGCACTTTATGACTATCAGCCAAGTGTCCGTGATGTAGAATTGTCCTTGGCTTGGATATCTACCATAGAAAAGGCTTATGTTAACTTGGCAAGGTAATTCATTTAAATTTTGTGATAAGATACTTTTGCTCTAGATTAAGAATATTTTTTATAATCCATTACTACTATTTTCATTGCTTCATGCTGATTGAAACAAAATTTTGTGACATTTATTCCCATTTATTACCCCTCACAATAACTCATTTCTACACTTCTGTATCCTTGAGTTAACCATGGTTATAGAAAGTAAAATATTTTAAAATTTATTTTCTAGGATTGACAGTAAATTATGCACAGCTCATCTGCCAAGATGCTTCTCATCTCTCATGCCATTCTATCTGTCTGAACATRAGAACCTTACTATTGCTGTCTCAAACACAATGAAGGTAAAAATATCGTTCTAGATAACTAAAATATATACGATGCACATTTGAAACATTTTAAWTTTTTTAAGAACGTTTTAAATCAGAAAGTAATGACAATTTTAAGTAGAATTAAAATATGGAATTTAACAAATATTTCTGATGATGGTTGGTACAAGAACAGTCAAAATATCATTGCCCCTCATTCAGTCATATGTGGAATGGTAAAACCTTGCAAAACATAACAAACGGTTTAGTTTTTTTCTTGTGTCAACTAAATAGCAGAAGCATATTTTGTATTATGAGTTGGAAATGATTCTTACTAAATGATTCCATTTTTCAAGCGTGTTTAATGTCACATTTAATGAAAGCTAATCTCCAAGATAAACTATTGTGTTTCCTCAATTCTTTATACATGGCCAGGGGCGGATCCAGGAATTTGTTCAGGGAGGGGTGCACTGCACAAAGTTAACCCAGGGAGGGTTGCACCCCTTAGAATCAAAGGGAAAAAACATTAATTTGCATTGGTTATCTTCGAAGTAGAGGCACAGAGTTGAACCAAGGAGGGGTGCCACCCCCTGCACCCCTCCCTTGGATCCGCCACTGATGGCTATTTAATCTGTTAGTTCTTTGTTTATCATTTTCTATTGTACATACCATAGGTGCTTCTAAAGAGCTGCGTAGAACCAGCTGTGGATGTAATAAGTGAAGAGTTGTCTAGGAGTGGCAATAACACAAACACTGCTGCTCATAAGATCATCAGGTGAGGATTGAACACAGCATGTACTCACAGTCTAATAGTGAAAACTTATAAATTGTGTAATTATTAGAGCATGGTGTGGGATTATGTACTTATTGACTGAGTGGGAGGGCCGTACGGGAAAATATTTGGCTCGAGGTGATGCCGTACGGACCTCGCTGCGCTCGGTCCGTACAAATGGCCGAGAGCCAAATATTTTCCCGTACGGCCCAACCTAACTCAGTCAATAAGCATTTTATCATATGACCCTCACGAAAATAAGAATAATTGAAAAAAAGAAAGCGCGCGGATTCGAGCAGGGCCGGACGGGTTTTTCCGGCCCGCTTACGTCAACCCGTCCGGCCCCCATCACGTGACTTTTTCCAATGGTTTTATTAGAGCGCACGAGCAGGGCCGTACGGGTCATATGATAAGAATGATTAATAGTGATCATGGTGGTGATGGTGAAGTATGATGATCATGGCAATAATGATGATAATGATGATAGTAATGGGGATGATGATGATGATCATGAGAATATGATGGTGATAATTATGGTGGTGGTGGCATTGGTGGTGATAATCATAATGGTGATGGTGAAAATGGTGGTTGTGATGATGATGATGCTGGTGATCATAAGTATGATGGTGGTAATGATGGTGGTGATGATAACGATGATGATGATGCTGGTGATGATAAGGATGATGGTGGAAATGGTGGTGATGATGATGATTGTGGTGGTAATAATGATGGTGGTGATGATAATGATAATGATGGTGGTGGTCATATCATTTAATGTTAAAATCACCACTTGTCTAATCCAATTGCTAAATCAAGTGTTATTTTTCATGTCTACTAGATGTTTGGAAGCAGGTCTCAAATATCGCTACCACGAACAATGGGATCTTATCCTACAAGTCATTGGTGTACTATTTGAGGTACTGTTAGCTGTGCACTTATCTTTTATAGTATATTATGAACATAGTCAGCATTTGCGTTTTGATTTGGTGGTCAGTATGGAATTGACATTGCTTCAACCTAACATACAGATAAAAAACATCTTTGTATATTGAAATAATATACCCTTATATTATGATATAAGTAACTGTTGTTGATCGTTGTTCAAATTCCCAACCAGAAATTTATTGGATAGTTAATGAAACCAATCGGTAAAATGGTTGGCACATTAACTTCACAATGGCAGTGTCTATAAACTGTCAATATTTTCCACCTATGGGAGATGCCTAAATACAAGAACTTCTCTTTTTTCCAGGTGCTTGGAAAACCTTGCTCAGACCTCTTGGAAAAGGCAAGTCTTATTATGATTAGTCTCATGCTTCAAAGTTGGGATCTAGCCTCCTCTGCAGTATACTCACTTGGGTTTCTTTTGTTTTGAGATGGGTCCAAATGGGTTTTCATGTTGATTGGAAGTGAGGAACACTAAGGCTGCGTTTACATGGTACTGGATGAATTTTTAACCAGTCAAAAAGTTGACTTGCACATAGCATTTACATGGAACCGTCTCTTTTATTATATAAAAAATATGTTCTGTTTACACAGAACCAGATCCAAATTTGCACGTCTAGGTGTAAAATTTTTTGTTCAGATAGCTCACTCCCATGTGAGCGGATACCCTAAATCTACTTTTAGACAAGTTAAAGATTACCAAAGTACTGTTTAAACACAGTCTAAGCAGAGAGGTGTAGTAGTCCTGCTTGGTCAATGCTTGGCTAACACAGGAAGCCCAGCATAGGTCAAAAGAATAAGAGAATCCATGCGGAGGAGTCTAGTTGCAATAATTCAAATGAAACTGACTTTTAGTTTTGTTTTTCCAGATGTTAATATCCCTGTGTGATCTGTATGGAACATATAAGTTCCCATATTCCAATGAACTGAAGAGAGCGGTTGGCATGGCAATACAGAAAATGGGACCAAAGTAAATAAACTTAACTTTTAGATACCTTATCTTTCATTTATCATGCAAGACACTCTATAGTGAGATTGTACCTATATTATATTCTCAAAGGGATTAGTATTGATTCAAGAGTTTTCCCCCAGGTTCTCTGGTTTTCCTTCCTCCAAAAAAAAACTAACAAGCTAAATTCCAATTCAGTCTGCGAGTTAGCCATACCCTGACCTAGATCAGCCCAGAGGTTGTTTCAGGGTTTGATCTGTTAGTTAGCCATACCCTGACTTAGTTCAGCCCAGAGGTTGTTTCATGGTTCTATCTGTGAGTTAGCCATGCCCTGA